GAAGCACCTTTGGCAGCGATTAAAGCCTTCGAGTCTTGGGTATAACGCTACAAGCTTGGCACAGCTGTATTTGGGGAGTTTCTCCCATTCTTCTCTGCAGATCCTCTCAAGCTCTGTCAGGTTGGATGGGGAGCGTTGCTGCACAGCTATTTTCAGGTCTTTCCAGAGATGTTCGATCGGGTTCAAGTCCAGGCTCTGGCTGGGCCACTCAAGGACATTCAGAGACTTGTCCCAAAGCCACTCCTGTGTTGTCTTGGCTCTGTGCTTCGGTTCGTTGTCCTGTTGGAAGGTGAAACTTCGCCCCAGACTGAGGTCCCGAGCACTCTGGAGCAGGTTTTCATCAAGGATCTCTCTGTACTTTGCTCTGTTCATCTTTGCCTCAATCCTGACTAGTCTCCCAGTCCCTGCCGCTGAAAAACATCCCCACAGCATGATGCTGCCACCACCTTGCTTCACTGTAGGGATGGTGCCAGGTTTCCTCCAGACGTGACGCTTAGTATTCAGGCCAAAGAGTTCAATCTTGGTTTCATCAGACCAAAGAATCTTGTTTCTCATGGTCTGGGAGTCTTTAGGTGCCTTTTGGCAAACTCCAAGCGGGCTGTCATGTGCCTTTTACTGAGGAGTGGCTTCCGTCTGGCCACTCTACCATAAAGGCATGATTGGTGGAGTGCTGTATAGATGGTTGTCCTTCTGGAAGGTTCTCCCATCTCCACAGAGGAACTCTAGAGCTCTGTCAGAGTGACCATTGGGTTCTTTGTCACCTCCCTGACCAAGGCCCTTCTCCACCGATTGCTCAGTTTGGCCGGGCGGCCAGCTCTAGGAAGAGTCTTGGTGGTTCCAAACTTCTTCCATTTAAGAATGATGGAGGCCACTGTGTTCTTGGGGACCTTCAATGCTGCAGAATGTTTTTGGTACCCTTCCCCAGATCTGTGCCACGACACAATCCTGTCTTGGAGCTCTACGGACAATTCCTTCGACCTCATGGCTTGGTTTTTGCTCTGACATGCACTGTCAACTGTGGGACCTTATATAGACAGGTGTGTGCCTTTCCAAATAATGTCCAATCAATTGAATTTACCACAGGTGGACTCCAATCAAGTTGTAGAAACATCTCAAGGATGATCAATGGAAACAGGATCAACCTGAGCTCAATTTCGAGTCTAATTGCAAAGGGTCTGAATACTTATGTAAATAAGGTATTTCTGTTTTTTATTTTTTATAAATTTGCAAACATTTCTAAAAACCTGTTTTCGCTTTGTCATTATGGGGTATTGTGTGTAGATTGAGGATTTTTTTTTATTTAATCCATTTTAGAATAGGGCTGTAACGTAACAAAATGTGGAAAAAGTCAAGGAGTCTGAATACTTACTATACATTGTCTCAATCCAAAATTATTGAAACTGATAAGTCATTTTCTGGTGTTTATATTTTCCATTAATTTGGAGTTTAAGCATATACTGTATCTGGATAAATGAATTCTGATGTATCCGATCTAGGTCTTCTTCGGGCAAATAAATGGGATTTGTTTTTACTTGTTATTCATATTACAAGTCCGACCCTTATTGGATCAGAAATTTTGAATATTTTTCATCTACTGTAGTTTTATGTTAAGTCTTTGATAAGGTACAACATACTGTACCAATTGTAATACTGTGGAGTCAGGGCCAGAGTACTAAACAGGCAAGCAAGAAAAGGAGCATCAGTTGCCAGTGTTTTTTGCCCTCTGGGTAATTATGGGCCCCATAATGAATATTATGAAATTGATGTAAGTACTTGTTCTTTCTGACTTTGCGCTGGCTTGGTGTGCATGATCTCTTGATAGTTGAGTACTTAAGCAGGCTGGGACTAGGAAACATAGCCTACTGGGGAGCTTGTTAAGAGCTGTCCAAGGTGCCTTTTCTCAGTATCTTCCCTACGCTGTACAACAATAGAAAACAGAATAAACGGTGCTATAGTACTGTTATGTGGAACTCAGAAACCAGTGACAACCACTGAGGACAGGCGATCTTTCAGCACCATGTGACTAAACATTTCAGTCCCCTATCAAGTGGATCTGATTGGCCTCATGTTGCCATTTTGTTTTCAGTTTTTAATGATTTGTTCTTAAACTGTACAATGAATGGTATCTGTAATATTCTTATGATGAGGGGGGAACCGGGGCAACATGAAAAAAATGTTTTGTAATGGAAATGAAATTGTTAACAGAAAGCAATAAAGGTTACTACATTGTAGCTGTATTTGTTGGCCTCAATCATTGACAAGTTGTTGTCGCTGCATTGCTTGGTGATAAACGGAAGTGTTATTGTATCACTGATCTGCTAGTACACTAAAATGCATACAAAACATACAGCTCACATTGCAGACTGAAAGTCACTATTTTGAGGGCAATCTGCCGTTGCTTCATCCATTTTTAATTTTTTACTTTCAAATTAATATAGCCATTGACTCTTCAAGAATATAACTTATAAATGCTTCATGAGCTTAGTTCAACTGCCATTCCCCACCAGAAACCAAAAGCTTGTTTTAGTCCTTTGTTTGTAAACAATATAAATGCAACCATGTTATAACCTCAAAACATGGTTAAAACTATAATTTTGATATCATGGATGGTCAGTCCTTGTATCCATAGCTCTGACCATGAATTTGAGTGGTTACATTTCTCCAGCCCATCCTCAGTGGTGGGGTGTCTACTTGTTTTAAAATATTTGTTTGACCATGTTCCCTTCTTTTTTGAGCAGTGTAAGTTGGTCTAGCCAGTATCAAACTTGTAGTAATCATGGCCGAATACCAACCAGGCATGCAGGGCACGTGCCCAGGGGTCCTGACCTCCAGGGGGCCCCATTGATTTTGTTAGTCACTCTCACTTAGATATCATTAACATGGCATAAATCATGGCAAAATGTGTAGAATTACAAGAAATTAGTTTTAAAACTGCTAAAAATAAATCTCCACCCCATGACAAAATGGGAAGAATTGCAGGAAATGTGCTTTAAAACGGAAAAAATGTCTCTGCTCCATGACAAAATTAGTAGAATTGCATGGGATTTCTTATAGAATTGCAGAATTGTCTCTCAGCCCCATGGCAAAATGTGTAGAATTGCTGTCAAAAGGGGGGCCACTAAAACATTTTGCTCGCTTGGAGATAACATTGGGAAGCATTGTAATCAACATGGGCCAGCATCCCTGTCCATGCCCCAACAAATTGAGGCTCTTCTGAAGGCAAAAGGGGGTGCAACTCAATATTAGGAAGGTCTACCTAATGTTTTGTACACTCAGTGTATATACTGTATTAACTTTAGTATTTAAAACCCTGAAAAAGTCATTTTCAAATAGTCTGAGGAGTAAGGCTGGAATTCACTTGTCACAGATTTAGGCTCAATCGTTTTCAGTCAAAGTATTTATGCTACTGCCTATTTATGTTAAAACTAGCCTTATCCATCAACTTTGGCTACACACCTTTCTCAAATGACAGGACCTGTCAGATATGCAAATGGTAACAACAGCAGTTAGCCTGCAGGCCTCCTGTTTCCAATGTTATCTTTGCCAAAGCATATGGTCAAATTTGGGCTGAGGGAATTTGGTTGATATGTAAACAACCCACAGTGTGCCTAACCAAAGGTGCTACCTAAACGTACAGTACCTAAACAACCACAACCAACGGCCACATAAATATTAGATGACAGGACTGCCTTGCTATGTTTCTGAATTTGTAACACATTAACAAACAATTTGCCTGACAGACCTTCTTTCCATTCACGGCCCACTTACCTGCCAAGCTCCACAACCCATCTGGCACACCCCCTGCCCCCATCTGGCTTTAGCGGCCCTGGCCCTCGTCACAACCATGGGAGTGGTGCCAGTCATTATCCTGGTCCTGGCAGCCTTTGACTCAGGTGAGCCAATCCCACACAGTATCTCTCTACACGACTGTGACCTGTTTTATGTCCTTTTACAAAGCTACTCTGTCATTAGATATGCTGTAAATGCTGAGGAAAATACAAACTGGGTGCATCTCAATAAATACATCTCATCTCCTTTGAAAAACTGACTGAACAGTGTGGAAGCAAATTCATCCACCATAAAGCTTTCACCTATCCTGTCCTTTCAGATTACTGCATCCACCGTATAGCTTTCACCTATCCTGTCCTTTCAGATTACTGCATCCACCGTACAGCTTTCACCTATCCTGTCCTTCAGATTACTGCATCCACCGTATAGCTTTCACCTATCCTGTCCTTTCAGATTACTGCATCCACCGTATAGCTTTCACCTATCCTGTCCTTTCAGATTACTGCATACACTGTATCACTTTCACCTATCCTGTCCCTTCAGATTACTGCATCCACCGTACAGCTTTCACCTATTCTGTCCTTTCAGATTACTGCATCCACCGTATAGCTTTCACCTATCCTGTCCTTTCAGATTACTGCATCCACCGTATAGCTTTCACCTATCCTGTCCTTTCAGATTACTGCATCCACTGTATCACTTTCACCTATCCTGTCCCTTCAGATTACTGCATCCACCGTACAGCTTTCACCTATTCTGTCCTTTCAGATTACTGCATCCACCGTATAGCTTTCACCTATCCTGTCCTTTCAGATTACTGCATCCACCGTATAGCTTTCACCTATCCTGTCCTTTCAGATTACTGCATCCACCGTATAGCTTTCACCTATCCTGTCCTTTCAGATCAGTGCAGATGAAGGAAAGGAGAATAGGAGAGGAAGCCATTTTAGACTGTGAGATGAGCCTGTTGTGTTGAATGAAGAGAAAACAGACAGGCCGATCAGGCCTGTAGTACGCCCCGTCTGTCATCAACAGCACATAGTCACGTAAAATACAATTTCCTTTATTAGTTAAACAATATGGAACACAGACTCATAATTATTTTGACAAATGTTGGGATTTTTGTTGATTGAATAATCTTATCCTGGAGCAGAATTGTTTTGATTGTATATGAAAATTGATGTTTCAGCTGTTTCTACCCCTCTTTAGCGTCCACAGCACTCTCTTTTCCTCATAGCTTTGGCAAAGAGTTCATCACTGCATTCCCGGAGAACATCGCCTTTTACCATCCCACTCAGCCTGACAACAGAGTTGTAATCACAGCCCTACATAGTGGCACCACGGTAACTGTTACCATGAAGGAACAGGGTTACACAGATACCAGGAACCTGAATGCAGGAGAGGAAGTTATGATTAAGACAGATATTAACATGAAGGAACTCAAGAGGTCAAAATTCTCCAACCAGACCCTGCATGTGACCAGCAACAACAACATCAGTGTCCTTGCCATCAGCCAAAGAGGCGAAAGCATCCAGACCATGGTAGTCCCACCGTTGGAGAGCTTGGGTACAGAGTACCATGTCCCCTTTATACCTGAGATGAAGCCCACTCAGCCTCAAATAGACCCAGGGAACCATTTGTTTAGGCTCATCATCATTAACCATAAAGAAACTAACGAGGTCACCATCTCAGGGCAAGCAGGTGAGGACGAGACGGTCTCACTCCAGGCGTTCCAACTGGTTCAACTCTGGCTCAATAGATCACTTCCAGAACCACACGTGTCTGCCGACCACCCCGTGGCGGTTCTGTACAGCCACGCATGCGCTGTCGCAACTAACTGCACCTGCAGTTTTCTGTTCAACCCTCTGTACCCCGTCACAGCTTGGGGATCAGAATACCTCGTCCACCCCTCTTTGGAGAATGGAGCTTTGAACGAAACTACCTTTCTGCTGACGACCAACCAAAATGTGAGTTTACTCAGCGGACCCCCCACAGAGCCCCTCCAGCTGCAGTCTTCCCACAAGCTGCCCTTCAATCCCTTCCTCCCTGGTGGCTCCTCCCTGGTCAAGACCTCCAGTCCTGTCTCCCTCACCCTCCTCAGGCCAGGCCTGCTACTCAGCCTCATCCCAACGCATAGCTTCTCCTCCTGCTACCTCCTCCACTCCCTCAATGCCGTGAAGAACCAGGCCCTGCTAGTAGCCCCTACAGCCCAGACAGAGGGGGTGCATCAGGGGAACACCGCCCTGGACGTCACATGGACTCCCATGATGGGGACGGAGTACTCCTGGGCACTCATTGACTTTGGCACAAAATATAGGAAGCATGTCATCTGGCATAGTTCCTCCAAAATGGCCGCCTACTACCTGGGAGAGGCAAACGGCATGGTTTTTGGGAATCCAGCTGCCAGCCTCAGCACAGATCCAGGTATGGTGTTGTAGAGGTTTCATTGACTTGTATTGCTGTGAATTATGCATATCATTCATGTCTGTGTGTCTGTATGCAAGTATTTTTCAAGTAATATATTGATCTCTCTCTCTCTCTCTCTCTCTCTCTCTCTTTCTCTCTCTCTCTCTCTCTCTCTCTCTCTCTCTCTCTGTGTGTGCGCGTTTGTATGTATGTGTGTGTGTGTGTGTGTGTTTGTATGCACAGATTCTAAGGGCTGTCTGCTGAGGCCAGAGGTTGTGTCACTTGGGGACGAGCAGGGTGGCTGGCCAGAGTCTCTGAAGTACTGCCAAGACCAGGGCTACAGTCTGGTCAGCCTGAACACAGAAGACTTCCTACTTCACGTGACCAATAAACTGAGGGAGTCTGGGACCCAGGCTCAGGGACAGACACAGACACAGAGTCAGGGTCAGGTGTGGATAGGCCTCCATAGGAGCTCACTGACAGGGCAGTGGTACTGGCTGAGCAAGGCTGCTGTGTCCTTCACCCACTGGGCCAAGGGCGAGCCAGGGACCCCCATGCAGGGCCAGTGTACCATGATGACGCTGGACCCCCAGGGAAACTATACCTGGAGCGACCAGAGTTGCTGTGAAGCTCTCCCAGCCGTCTGCTACAGAGAGCCACTACACTTACCCCTTGAGTAGAGCTCTATACTTGACCACTTCCCTTTCTGTAGGGCCCTTCATACATTATACTCACTAGATTCAAGCACCCTTTGTGAAGGGCATCGCATAAGAAATATTCTCTAGACAGCTATACTGTATGTCTCAATGCAGAATGATTTAAACTGATAAGTAATAGTCTGGTATTGATCTTTTCCATATTTGGAGTTGAGGCATATATCTGGATAAACTCATTCTGATGTCTCTGATCTAGGACTTCTTGCCAAATAAAAGGGAGATTGTTTTAATTGTTATTCATATTACAGGACCGACCCTGATTGTATCAGAAATCTATGAAATAAAGCATATTTTTAATCTTTGGTAAGGTGTAACATATTAATTGAAATACTGACGAATTAACTAGATAAATGTTTTTCCTTTTGCAAATGCTATAAACGGGTTGGTTGTTTAGCAGCAAAACCGACGCGAAACAGACGTGGTTGGCTTAGACTAAAACTATATTTAATGTCCAAATGTTTATAGCAAAACAAATAAATTTGCACAATGAGCACTTGTCTCTCAAATACATTGTTACAGTTATTGGTTACCTAGATAGCGAATTTGAGCCATATTAGCATAGACAGGAAATCAGTCAAAACACCTCAAAACAAGACATGGTATCAAGAACAAGATAAAAACTTGCTCAACTACAGTACTATTCCCCACATGGCAGCTTCATGTCATTGTTGCTAGCTGTCTGACTGTTCAGAATCATAACAACACACGGCTTCCGGCCACATCGACGCACGTGCATTTCCATGACGTTGTCAGCCAACCCATCTATGTCAATGGTGTTACATTAAATGTGGCATATTACATTAAATTACATTAAATGTGGCATATTACATTAAATGTGGCATATTACAGTAAATTACATTAAATGTGGCATATTAAATTACATTAAATGTGGCATATTACACTAAATTACATTAAACATGGCATATTACACTAAATTACATTAAATGTGGCATATTACACTAAATGACATTAAACGTGGCATATTACACTAAATGACATTAAATGTGGCATATTACATTAAATGACATTAAATGTGGCATATTTGTGTAAGAAGCTATGCTTCTGCTGTATTCTTTAAACCACCATAACCACAATAAATATACCCTCCTCACCTTTACATGTACAGCGGTTTTGTGTGTAGTCCCCATTTTGAGGCTTGACAAATAGATTACACAACATTTCAACTAATGAGTTAGATTCATAAACAATAAACTAATGATTTACAGTCTATTCATTACATATAAACCCTTGGTAGGGAATGAGGTGGGATCTAATTACACGCAAATAGGTCCAATAATGTATTGTTTATTGAAGGCAAATGAAAGAATGTATGAGCAGTTAAAACATTTGGATTAGTGTGTATGTGTGCGTGCGTGCATGCATATGCAAACAGTGTATCATTTGAACCAGCATCTGAGCCATGCCGGGCCTCCTCCCTGTGGCAGCCAGACTACCATCCCCAGCAGCAGCAGCACCTTGAACCCCAGGGAGAGGGAGAGCAGGAGCAGGAGAGGAGGGGCCTCCCCAGAGACCTGCACCTGCCTGGGGGGCAGCACGTACAGGGTGGCCTGGTCCTTCCCCAGGGGGTTGGAGGCACTGCAGGTGTACTGCTGCCCAGGGAGGACATCCCGGAGCTGGCTGGTGGTGTGGTGTTGCCCGGGGGACTCCTGGGAGAGGGGAGAGATGTCGGAGCCCTCCAGGAGCACGTCAGGCCCCAGCCACTGGACATCAGGTAGGGGGGAGCCCTGGACTCGACACTGAGCCCTGTAGCCAGTGTCCTCACTGCCCTCCACTGACAGGCCCAGGATCCGTGGGGCAGCTAACCATGAAAGCCATGGCAAACAACAGAGACACCCAATCATTACAATCATATCCATGAAATAAGCATAAATCCATCTACAATTAGACAAACGGACAAACACATATAGAGTTGACATATTAGATTGCTTTCAAGGTCTAAAACAAACTGGTAGTACTACATTCTACAGTGTACTCATCATATACAGAATCCCCCTACCCTCCACTCTAAGCCGTGTGCCCATCTTATCCTCGTAGCCGCTGTGTGCGTGTCCGGGCACCTCCACGCGGCAGTAGTAGCGTCCGTTGTCCTGCAGGGCGGCACTGTTGATGCGCAGGGAGAGGTCGTGCTCTCGGGGGTTCCCCTCCAGGCGGTAGCGCTGGTCCTGCTGGGGGCTTGGCTGGCAGGTCCTGGCCCCGGTGGGAGAGGAGCAGTGGTAGAGCACCGTAGAGCCCTGGCCGTGGCCCAGCCGCCACACCACCTGCAGGGAGGAGTGCAGCGTGTGGTGGGGGTGGGTGAAGGAGCAAGGCAGCACCACCGGGTAGCCCTCCATGGCACGCACCTCTACCTGAACCTTCATGGACCAGCCGTCATCGTTAGAAGCAGCGCCCAGGGCTGGATGTGTCAGAACACATGCTATTAATGCTCAGGACAGATTGAGAACTGTAGTATGTTTAATCAAAATCGAACTACGGTTTAAAAACACATTCTGAAAACTGGAAGCATTCTGTATTCCTGTAAGCAAGATGTCAATCTGATAGTGGTGTCCAAATCGGCCATGCTTTGAAAATGAGGAAGGAATAACAGACTTAAAGAAAAAAGAAGTTCACTTTGATCTAACTTTGCTTTCTGTGTTCCATACGCTTCTGAAAAAAGCAGTGCAAAATTGCTGTATCTCTGAAGAGTGTGACCCCACAGTTTGTCTGACAAATATTTGATCCACATATGCTGTAGTCGCGAGTCAATCAGTGGCTTACTTACCTTCCATGAAACACAATAGGAGATTCACCATTCTGCAGAGTGACCGGGTGTCCATGCTGAGACTGCTGTGTTAAGGATAGATTATGCAGTGAGGATTCTATGATTGTCTCCTCACCTGACTCACTGTTTCTCGGACACCCTGTCTTGTGACTGCCAGTCATTCCAGTACAGCTCATATGAGTTCCTATAGAGTATTTCCCTCATCTAGCACACTGTCCTATACACACAACACAGCATATTCAGTGCCTTCACAGAGTATTCACACCCCTTGACTTTTTCCACATTTTGTTGTGTTACAAAGTGGGATTAAAATAGATTTCATTGTAATTGTTGGTCAACGATCTACACAAAATAATCTGCAATGTCAAAGTGGAAGACAAATTGTAAAAAATAAATTGTAAAAAATAAATTAATAAAAATAAATTATAATATATCTTGATGTGATAAGTATTCAAGCCCCTAAGTTAATACATGTTAGAATTACCTTTGGCAGCAATTACAGCTGTGAGTCTTTCTGGGTTTGAGTCTTTCTCTCTAAGAGATTTGCACCTATCAAGTTGGTTGTTGATCATTGCTAGACAGCCATTTTCAAGTCTTGCCATACATTTTCAAGCCGATTTCAGTCAAAAACTGAACATTCAATGTCGTCTTGGTAAGCAACTCCAGTGTATATTTTGCCTTGTGTTTTAGGTTATTGTCCCGCTGAAAGGTGAATTTGTCTCCCAGTGTCCGTTGGAAAGGATTTTGCCTGTTTCTTTTGTTTATCATAAAACCTCCCTAGTCCTCATAACATGATGCAGCCACCACCATGACTGGAAATATGAGGAGTGGTCCTCAGTAATGTGTTGTGTTGGATTTGCCCCAAACGTAACGCTTTATATTCAGGACAAAGTTAATTTCTTTGCCACATTTATTTGCAGTTTTACTTTAGTGCCTTATTGCAAAAAGGATGCATGTTTTGGAATATTTTTAAACTGTACAGGCTTTCTTTTCACTCTGTCAATTTGGTTAGTATTGTGGAGTAACAACAATGTTGTTGATCCATCCTCAGTTTTCTCCTATCACAGGCCACTTTAATCACTGGCCACTTTAATATCCTAACACTAGTCACTTTAATAATGTTTACATACTGCTTTACTAATTTCATATGTATATACTGCCACTCCGACATTGCTTGTCCTAATATTTCTATATTTCTTAATTCCATTATTTTACTTTTAGATTTGTGTATATTTGTCACGCCCTGACTCAGGGGACTCTTATATGTTGAGTCAGGGTGTGAATATTCTATGTTGTGTTTTCTATGTTTCAGTCTAGGTGTTGTAGATCTATGATTGGCCGGGTGTGATCCCCAATCAGAGACAGCTGTCGCTCGTTGTCTCTGATTGGGGATCATACTTAGGCAGCCTGTTGGCATGTGTTAGTTGTGGGATCTTGTTCCGTGAGTAGGCTTGTTTTGTGTGTAGCCTTAGGACTTCCCGTTTCGTTGGTTTGTCGTGTGTTTATCATTTAAATAAACATGTATGCCTTTCACGCTGCGCCTTGGTCTGACCCGTCCTTAAACGAACGTGACAGTATTGTTGTGAATTGTTAGATACTACTGCACTGTTGGAGCTAGGAACACAAGCATTTCGCTACACCCGCAATAACATCTGCTAAATATGGGTTTGTGACCAATAAACTTTGATTTGATTTAAACTCTATAACTGTTTTAAAGTCACCATTGGCCTCATGGTGAAATCAGTGAGCGGTTTCCTTCCTCTCTAGCGACTGAGTTAGGAAGGACACCTGTATCTTTGTAGTGACTGGGTGTATTGATACACCATCCGAAATGTAATTAATAACTTCACCATGCTCGAAGGGATATTCAATGTCTGCTTTTTTTTATTTATACCCCACCTACCAATAGGTGCCCTTCTTTGCGAGGCATTGGAAAACCTCCCTGGTCATTGGGGTTGAATCTGTGTTTGAAATTCACTACTCGACTGAGGGACCTTACAGATAATTGTATGTGTGGGGTACAGAGATTAGGTAGTCATTCAGAAATCATGTTAAACACTATTATTGCACACAGAGTGAGTCCATGCAACTTACTATGTGACTTGTTAAGCATATTTTTACTCCTTAACTTATTTAAGCTTGTCATAACAAAGGGATTGAACACTGATTGACTCAAGACATTTCAGCTTTTCATTCTTAAGAATACTGAACAAAAATATAAATACAACATGCAACAATTTCAAAGATGTTACCGAATTACAGTTCCTATAAGGGAATTGGTCAATTGAAATAAATAAATTAGGCCCTAATCTATGGATTTCACATGACTGGGTATACAGATACTGTATGCATCTGTTGGTCACAGATACCTTAAATAAAAAGTAGGGGCGTAGATCAGAAAACTAGTCAGTATCTGGTGTGACCACCATTTGCCACATGCAGCGCGACACATCTCCTTCACATAGAGTTGATCAGGCTGTTGATTGTGGAATGTTGTCCCACTCTTCCATGGCTGTGCAAAGTTGCTGGATATTGGCGGGAACTGGAACACGTTATCGTACACGTCGATCCAGAGCATCCCAAAACATGCTCAATGGATGGCATGTCTGGTGAGTATGCAGGCCATGGAACAACTGGGAAATGTTCAGCTTCCAGGAATTATGTACAGATCCTTGCGAAATGGGGCAGTGCATTATCATGCTGAAACATGAGGTGATGGCGGAGGATGAATGGCACGACAATGGGCCTCAGGATCTCATCACGGTATCTGTGCATTCAAATTGCCATCAATAAAATGCAACTGTGTTCGCTTTCCATAGCTTATGCCTGCGCACCCCACCGCCACCATGGGGCACTTTGTTCACAACGTTGACATCAGTAAACCGCTCACCCACAGGACACCATACACGTGGTCTGCTGTTGTGAGGCCGGTTGGACGTACTGTACTGCAAAATTCTCTAAAACGACGTTGGAGGCAGCTTATGGTAAAGAAATGAACATTAATTTATCTGGCAACAGCTCTGGTGGACATTCCTGCAGTCAGCATGCCAATTACATGCTCCCTCAACTTAAGACATCTGTGTCGTTGTGTGACAAAACTGCACATTTTAGAGGGGCCTTTTATTGTCCCCAGCACAAGGTGCACCTGTGTAATGATCATGCTCACTAACAGGGATGTAAACAGATTTGTGTGTATGGAACATTTCTGGGATCTTTGATTTCAGCTCATCAAACATGGGACCAACACTTTACATATTGCGTTTATATTGTTGTTCAGTATAATTTGTAAAAATTTACATTATGGAGTATTGTGTGTAGGCCAGTAACGCAACATCTCAATTTAATCAATTTTAAATTCAGGCTGTAACACAACAAAATGTGGAAAAAGTAAAAGGGTGTGAATACATTCTGAAGGCACTGTAGGCCTATTATATTTCTCAATTCTCACTACGCTAAATGGAGGTCCTCAATTGTTCCAGTCTTAATGCTTGCTACAATAGATAGCAAGTAAAGAGGCTCAGGAAAAATATCTTAAATTCACAGATAGGCTTAAATAAATAATACACTTCCATGTTTAATGCAGTTTTGCTCAGCCAAGCCCTCATACTTGTTTCACAGTAAGCACTTTTGTAGCTAAACAGGAAATGGCTATTCTCATGTCTTACATTTCACAACTCTGTTTTCTGATTTGAGGCATTGTGGTGGTAGAAATTCCTCTGTGTGACTTCTCTTTCTTTCTCTCCAGTGCTAGTGGGCTACGTATATTTGATTACCTTTAGGATGTTGCTGGCTCAACTCTTCTCTCTCTTCTCTGTCATTACAGGTAGGCTAAACTCCTGTTTCAGGTATTTACATTTACACTCAGATTCAGTTTTTCATTTTGGTGAAACATTCCTATTTAAGCTTTAGCATTCTTGAATAGAAGTCAGTAATTTGGGAATAAAGGAATTATCCCTCTTTTTTATTTTTATATTGATGATTATATGTTTATACAGTTTCATAAGAGATCCTTTGTTGATCCTTTGGTTTCTGAAGTTTATGTTCAAATAAAGTGCAACATAATATCAACAAGGAGCAATATATTGCCAGTTGAACCAATTAGAATGCAATATATTGCCAGTTGAACCAATTAGAATACAATATATTGCCAGTTGAACCAATTAGAATACAAGTTTTAAAAAACACTTGAGACCATCAGAAAAAACAAACATGAAATATCCTTAATATCATTTCTCTAACCGTTTGTTAACTAATATTCCTCCCACTAGGCACCCTCTCACGTCAGTGGTCCATGACAGTGCCCCCTGTAGTGAATGGCACCATAGGAGGAGATGTGGTCCTACCCTGCTCCTTCACCCATCCCCAGCAACAAGACTACTCCAAAGACATCACAGTTCAGTGGATTGCCAGACAATTCCATTATATGCCCTTCTTCCAGTGCAAGGTGACAAATGTTACTAATGGGGGACTTAATTAATGTTCAGTCGCTGACCAATCCCAGCGCTTCTCAGTCAAAGGAGACCCTAAGCAGAGGGATCTCTCTCTCCTCATCAGAGATTTGGCGGTCACAGACAATGGAGTATACTTCTGCAGAGTGGAGCTGGACTTTTACTGGCTTGGTGGAAAATGGCAGACACCCAGTGGCACACAGCTCAATATCGTGGGTAATGGGTCTCACTACGTTGTCAGCAATAACATATTTTTTATTGAGGGTCTAGGAAAATGAAACGCTTTACCACAATGATACTCATGCAAGGTTTGTGCTTTGTCCCTAGCTAAGGCCCAGTTTATCAGCCTGTTTTGGGTAGAGGCGTCCTCCGGCCCAGGCAATGGGAGCCTCAGGTGTGTAGTTGAGGGGAACCCACCACCCACCATCACCTGGTTTTCCTCCTCTAAGAGTAACATAGACCCTGGCGTCAGCACCATAGAAACGCACCCATTTCAGTGGACCAGTTGTATCCCTATTCCGCCCAGGAAGTGTACACCTGCATGGCAGAGAACAGCCTGGGGAGGGCACAGAGACGGTTCCCCCCTGGACCCACTGCTCTGACTGTAGCCCTCTCTGTGTGTGGGGTCCTGCTTCTGCTGCTGCTCCTTGGGGTGTCTTTATTTTGCCTGAGAAAAAGAGGTAGGTGATTGATACCTGTACAAAAATAAATACTAGTAAAGATATATTAAGATATTCTATTTTAGGAGTATTTACAGATTAATATATACTATCCCTGGTCTTTTCCAAAAGGATACCTGAGATTCTGCAATTCAGAAAAGAGTAAGCAGCAATCTGAGTTGTGCACAGATCCTGCTATAGGTAAGGGTTATTACTCTTTTCTAGACTATCTGAGTCTTTCTATTTCTGATCGGTAATTATTTTTCCTCAGATGAAAGGGCGGGGTTTGAGTTGAAAGACAGTTTTAAGTGGTAGGCTATTCAGTAAATTTTTACATTTTAGTAATTTAGCAGACGCTCTTATCCAGAGCGATTTACAGGAGAAATTAGAGCCTTCCTCAAGAGCACATCGACAGATTTTTTACCTAGTTGGCTCATGGATTCGAACTGGCCCAACATATCATATCCTCTCATTCAGTCATAAACGTAGTGTGTCACAGCAGTTTACATTTGTACTTTTTACTTCCCTGTTTCTAAAGTTGTGGTAAGTGGATCCTCTATCTATGCCAATGTCTCAGAAATGTGTGAGTGGACAAGACCGTAAAATATTTGCTGATGGTTCATATCTGTAATGTGTCACAGTTTCTTACTGTCGTTCTCTGCACAAACAGAAAGCCGACAGTCGTTGTATAAACATGATTCACCAGAGGATGGCGACGTGGAGCTAAATCTGGTATACTCAACCATTCAACTGAACACCACCACTCAATGTAAGTATTCAATTATTGCAATTTTGCACCATGAATTCCATAGGTATACCACTAAGTGCCAGAACCACTTGAATGATCATACAAGCTCAGATAAGCTTGTCTGCTGAAGTGAAATTGCCCTGTTTTCTTTTTAAGCGCCCCAAAGAAGCTCTCGAGTCCCCATACCAGATGAAGGTGAAAACGTTATATTCTTGACATAGTGCTTTTCTTGAAGTGACACAAGAAAGCCTCAGATTGCATAATACAGCTGAGACAGCACTGTCCAGCACTGTCCTTAACATGACATAACATGACATAATGCCAGTGTCTTTCCATTATTCTTATTATACTGTCCTTTGTCGTTTTAGGTGTCCACTATGCTATTGTGGACTTAGGGTAAACAGCTGAGGCACAACAGGCAGTATGTAACTCTAGAGGTATGTCATACTGAAACTGACCTCCCTCATTCTGACAGACATTTCCCAAGACACCTTCAAAAGTAATCAATGAGGGTTTGGCAGTCAATCTTATTGCCATTGTTCGCAACATTGGGACAATTTGGTAGATTCAGTTTTTCTATTGTTATTCTCATGGAGGTGCAATTACATAATTGCACAAAAATTGTTATTGTAATTGTTTTGTTACTGTAATTGTAAAAAAAATGTTACTCAGTCACAATTGTTATTGTTCTAGAGCGCAATTACATCATTATACTTCTGGGTTTCCTTACCAAGAAGTGAAGCGTTCCTTTTAAACACAAGTCACATGAACCCCAAGAGGAACGCCAGTGCAGTCACTCGCCTCAACCACCACAGAACCAGCTGATACTATCTGGGCAAAATCTGAGTGTAGCTGTGGTTGATTGTAGTCAACCACCGGCTCTGCAGGGAACTCTGTAATCAAACTACTGAAGGGTTTTCTCAGGTTGGTGTATAATAATCATAATAATACATAGTATTTATATAGCATTTTTCAAGGACCCAAAGTCACTTGGGTCCATGTCCATGTTTTTACCATGTGGTGCATCACATGGTTTACTAACCTCTTAAACTAAACGTCCCTGCAGGACCATGAAGCAGAAAGAATGTGGTGCATTTGTACTTGTAAATGTATTGGTTTCCTTTGGCTGCAGAGTGTTTATGATGTTCTCCAAGTGTAATGGAGGATCTAGTTCCACTGGACCACATGCAGAGAGTTTATGATGTTCTCCAAGTGTCATGGAGGATCTAGTTCCTCTGGACCACATGCACAGAGTAACTCATTCAGGTTCTTAAGATTGTACAGCTGATGCATAAGACTGTTTGGCTCAACATGGTTATATCCTTTTAGGGTGTGGTTTGGTCTCCATATCTGGCCTCACTTGCTCGAATGGAGACTAGGCCTACTGGTATGTGCAAGATAAATCTGCCACCTCAGTCAGAGAGTGTGTGTGGGTGGGTGTGCCTTTATGTGGTAAGGTTTTCTAAGCACTCTTTCCCATTCTGCTCTGTAGCAGTCGCAGGACCTGGTGACAGAGAAGAGCATCCTGCCCTCGTCTCCGTGGTAACAGATGTTTATGGATGGGGTGTGTCAGAAACAAAACCCTACTGCTGCAAAGCATCGAATAATGAAAAACTGCTTTCCTGATGGGGTTCAGTCTTGCTTCATCTCTATCCATTTTGTTATGGAACTTCATTGACTTCAGGATTTTTGTTGTTGTTGCAAGAACCAAATGGCCTAACATCTTTACTTAGTTGGTTATTTTTCGTAAGTGTCTGTGGGTGCTCTTTTTTAACAGCTAATTTATAATGTATTCACATGAACAGATAGTGTGTATTTGAGGTTACAACATACTGTATATCGATGGAGGAATAATTTAAAACCAGCTACTTGTCACTAAAGTTATATGATAGTTTTCTATATACGTCAGTGTTGTGGGTCTGGGGTCTAATTAAGCAATAATGCCAGAGGGGGTGTGTCATATTACCTATATACCCCGGCTAAGGGCTGTTCTTAAGCACGACGCAACGCGGAGTGCCTGGATACAGCCCTTAGCCGTTGCGGAGTGTGTGGATACAGCACTTAGCAGTGGTATATTGGCCATATACCACAAACCCCTGAGGTGCCGTATTGCTATTTTAACCTGGTTACCAACGTAGTTAGAAAGTACAAATACATGTTCTGTCATACCCATGGTATATGGTCTGATATACCAACAGCTTTCAGCCAATCAGCATTCAGGGCTTGAACCACCCAGTTTATAATGATGTTTAAAGCATGAAGATGTAAATAATACACTACACTGAATCTATTTTAGCATGGCATGGGGTAGTCCCATTAGTGCAGTCCCCTTGGGATAGGATGGTGGGCCTATAGTTCAACACCTGTTAACCCCACATGGTTACCAATTCAACCGCAAAACCAGCTCTGGAACAGTTGTTCATCAGACATTAGGTTTGACCTTAAAGTAATGTGAGCTTCTTGCTTGCTTGTGCAATATGGGTGGAAAAGTGTTTAAATTAACCTGGAACAAATACAATTCAGCTGTCTATGTAGTAAGGTGGTCTAATGGGTATGGGTCTATGGTGCAGGCTACAATGATATAGGGCCTAAAGTGTCGTTAACAATAGTAGGCCTAAGTCTGATGAATTTCAAACATATTGAGATTGATAGCCACATGCTTAATCAACTTCTACAGATCAACTTCAACCATCATGCGAACACTATTTAGGTGGAGATCTTAAATGCTTCATTATTAACATCCATAACACACGCGGCTTTGCGTCCAATTGTGCGTGAGTGATTTGCGGACAATACGTGTTTTGATGTTAGTCCATTCCATTGGTCCTTAAGTGAAATCACCACTCACCCGGGGCCATGCAAAACGAACTGGCCCATTGAGTAAAAGTACAATTGTAGCTGTTGAAGTTGAAAAATTGTACTGTTTCCGGAAAACCCCACCCCAACTGAATCTCACCCTCAATGAAGTAGGGTTACCACAGCGGCAAAGTCCAAATTGGCTATATCGTAAAAACCCTACAATTGTGCTTTTTGGTCTTAATTTAAGGTTACGGTTAGGCATAAGGTTAGCAGTGTGGTTAGGGTTAGGTTTTAAATAATATTTTAAGAAGATAATTTGTAGAAACAGGCGGGGTTATGACTTTGTGGCTGTGATAACTAGTGACGACCATGAAGTAGACGAAGCCCAGTAGTAGCAGTTGCCTGTGTTTCGTGGACCACGGTAAACTGTAGTCTAGACTATTTACACTGTATTTGATTTATTTATACATATCAAAATGTCTCATACTGTTGTTACGACCACCACCACGACGACATCGTCTTCAGGCGGAGGTTTCTTAAACTTGGGCTATACTCGCTCTGGACAAGGATTACTGAAAATCGCCCAAGTGGTAAGAGTTTTTGGATCCGATATTTATACTGATATACTGCACAGAATTATACTATTTTTTGTACGTTTTTATTTTTATGTTGGGTTTGGATTGTATTTTATATTGCTTACTGTCAGCTATCTTCGTGATCTTTAATCACAGTAATTGTTTAATCCAAAATGTGGAGAATGCACACAGAAGTTGAAGGTAAAGTGGAGCGAGGTGCGTAACAGAAACTCTGATTCATTCATATCCTAGGTGGCTTTCTCTGACTGGTAGCCTACGACTAGGCTATTACACAAAACATTAACATGCAAAACATGAATTAGGCCAATAATAGTGGAACCCAATAGCCTTTATAACATGAATTAGGCCTATACCAGTGGAAACCAATAGCCTTTATAAAAACTACAAGTTTAATGGACTATTAAAATATTTTAAATGACCGAGACAAGAATCTACACTGGGAGCTCCTCCCAAAGATTGACCTGTGCATTATCTCTCCATGAGGCAAAATGGCAAGTGGGAGGGTGATAACGGCTACAGTCAGATCAACATCCAGTTTTGACTGAGATGTCCTGTAATTGTTTGAAATAGTGGATGCAGGAACTTGTCCCACTGTGTATGGTGATGTCATATTGCTGTCATCTCTCAGAATGTCAGAATTTCGTAATTAATTACACACTTTATTACACCTTCATAACAAAGGTTGTGAAATCAGGGGTTTTATAACTTTGTCTGTTCTCCCCTCTTTAAATCTGTGTTTGGCACAGTAGAATACAGTAATTCAAATTATCTGGTTTGCATCTTCACTACTCTTATGTTACAGGCTTGCTTATTTATAGTCACCATCATCACCACAGCAATGATGTTGGTGTTTCAGAGGAAAGATGGAGGAAGCTGGTAATGGGTGTTATTTCCTATTTTCACGAAGTGTTTAATGGCTTTTAGCCTTAACGTCAATGTTGTTCCAAATACCCTGCAACTGCCCTACAATATGAAGCAATAAAGCATATTTAACAGCATGTGAAGGTGACATTTTGTGATAACTTTGAACATTAGCCATGTGAGAGCTGGGTTGTGTTGAAAACTTGGTACTGACGCCATAGATTCTGGATCTGGACCAATCTACTGGTACCAGAATTGCAGACCAGGATTCATTTTTAACACAGGAGTTGCAGTGTTGATGTGGTGCCAAAATGCTCCAGGATTCGAATCATACTGGGTCATGAAACCAACTTGTTATGTGTCTGTGTGTTTGCAGGTAGCCCTCCTGATTGCGTTCCTGTGTGTATACTGTGCACGAGGTTGGACTGATTACTCAGCCTTTCGGTACTTTGAGGTGGTGACGCTATGGTTCCTCATAGCCTTCCTCATCTTCTACCTCATGTATGTGTTCAGACTGCAGAGTAAGATCCCCTGTATCAACTGGACAATGACGGTGAGTGGCCCTGCAAACGACACACACACTGATACACACACACATTTACATGCAGACTCTCTTATCCAGAGAGACTTACAGTAGTGTGCATAATCTTTTAAAACTTTTTTTGTACTTTTTCCACAGACACACATATACACACACGCTTTACAACACTTATCTATACCTTTCATTGTTTCAGGAGTTCCTGCATTATGGCGTTGGGACCATCCTGGTCTTCATTGCCTCTGTTGTTGCAGCTGTTAAGAATGGAGGTGTGTCTGAACTAGTAGCTGGTTCGGTGAGTAACAGTTTTCTGGTGCTCCTTTCCAGAGCTGAGGAATGTTCATTCATTTTATCTATCCTAGTATCGCAGCATTTAGCTGTAGATATAATTGAGAGGCCCTGTTTGAAAAAATGGAACCTTATATCTAAGCTCTCCATTGTTTATTTCTGTTTGTTATGTGGCGGGTGTGTGGGATTCCCCTTTAAAGCAGACCAAATGGCTATTAAAGGGGAATGGAAACACTAGGCTTTAGAACACCAGCTAACTGTAACTGTAAATCGCCATATTGGCATTGTTGCATCACTGGCAGGATTTCCCAAAAAAGGCTGAATCCCAAAACTGTCTGAAAGACCATGAGCTCTGCGTGCATTAATGAGCTAAATTTGCTGGTTTCAAACCATATACGAAAACATGATACATATTTTGAAAGCTGAGAAACAGGCCTTACAAATTATATTACATACAATAGCACCACATCAATCAAATGGTAATCAGTTAAGAAAAATCTTATGAAAATCTATGTTTTTTCCCCCAAACAACTGCCATTTACACAACTTCCTAATGAAGATAGAGAAAAATTAGAGCATATTGAGTCTTCTTTATTTAGTAACGATTGAAAAACTGAAATCAGAATAGTAATATGTTCTACTGTGAATGAGTTACAACCGTTTTAGTGAACAGTGTTATTTTTCTAGAATTCTATGGAATGTTCTGTTATCAGACACTTTCTTATATGGATTGTATATTAAACACAGATGTGCACCAAAACATATTACAAATGGCATTTAGTCTTACATATGATAAGCAAAGACATACACAAGTAATATAATATGAATAAATCAATATTGAAAAAACAATTGGAATTACAAAATATGATAAGAATACGGAATATAATAACAATAATTGGCTTTGAAAACTTCAATTTCTTCTGCACATACATTCCACTTGGCCTATAGTCTAATACAGGAAGAGTCAGAATGGGAACAAATTAAAAGCATGCAAGAGAAGAGAAATGACCAGTGACCATCTGAGCTACTGGGTGAAGACTAGGAGTCCCTTAACTAGTGGCTATGTCTGCAATGAATCACACTCACTGGAGTACCACAACCTAAAATAATTTTGCCTCCTACGACGCATAACTGCTTGCCCTTGCATTCTGGTGCAACACAAACAAATCACGTCATATCCTCCTTTCTATCTTTCCTGTAACAAATCCAACCATTTCTACAGTAGTCCTCCAGGACAATGAAGTTCACCTAGGCTGTGAGGGGGAGGGTGTGATTGTCCCTCGGCCCTGTCTGCAGCCTAAGCAGCATGTTGTCCAGTCTCTCCAGCCCCTATCTGGCCTTGACACTTGTCTAGCTAGCAAGCTACAAATCAAATCAGACACTAGCCAGTTGATTTTAGCTCTTAGCTAATGCCAATGACAAATGCTCTTCAAATTGTCAATATGAGCATTTTATTTTGTACAGTTTGCGAAGACAACATTAACATGAAAAAGACAAGAGAAGAGCTAGCTAAATCAACAAGTTAGCTAGCTAGTTGCCTCGGTTTGGCTGACTGTCTACTCGGCTTGTTATCAAAAGTTAATTTCACAGATTCCTTTTATCAATAGAAAAAAATACTCTAAAATGTAAATATAATAATTACCAACATAAAAATGAATTGCATACAGTTTCTTACCTTCATATTTTTGTCCTGATCTCAATGACAAAGCTATCAAAATGTTGAGAAACCTTTCAGGTCCAGTGGAGACAAGGCGCCTCCTGGTGTCAGCATTCACTTTCATCAGCTTGGGGACTTACAGCTGTCCCCTGAATGCTTGACAGATCACCAACATGTAGGTTTTTTATAGGGGGATAATAAGGCATCTTTCTTGTTGTCCTTTACAGGTATTTGGCTTCATCGCCACATTCCTACTGGCTGTCAGCATATGGACATCCTATAAGGTCACATGTGGTTCCCAGCCAACCAGTAAGTCTGAAATTCTTTGAAATCCTTTTTCCCTCCGACCACAGTTGCCTAGCGACATGTACCGAGCCTTTGAAAGACAGACGCTCAATTGAAAGGGATTCAAATATAGCCTGTAATCATATCATGAAATAGACCTACCCGGATATTGAACGCCTCTTTTACGCTGCTGCTACTTCAAGTCAATCATGAAAATAGGGGCCCCCCACTTGCTTGACGTCCCCTTGTTTATAGTGAATTTTTCTATTGATACCTCCATCGTGGTTGTGTTTATTCTTACTTTTTTGTAAAATAAACACTTTGGTTAGGCTGTAAGTATTCACTAGTCTGCCTGTGTATCGCGCATGGACCACTGGGAATACAGTGGGAAAAAAGTATTTAGTCAGGCCACCAATTGTGCAAGTTCTCCCACTTAAAAGATTGGAGAGAGGCCTGTTTAATTTCATCATAGGTACACGTAAACTATGACAGACAAAATGAGAAAAAAAATCCAGAAAATCACATTGTAGGATTTTTAATGAATTTATTGGCAAATGATGGTGGAAAACTAAGTATTTGGTCAATAACAAAAGTTTCTCAATACTTTGTTTATATACCCTTTGTTGGCAATGACACAGGTCAAACGTTTTCTGTAAGTCTTCACAAGGTTTTCACACACTGTTGCTTGTATTTTGGCCCATTCCTCCATGCAGATCTCCTCTAGAGCAGTGATGTTTTGGGGCTGTCGCTGGGCAACACAGACTTTCAACTCCCTCCAAAGATTTTCTATGGGGTTGAGATCTGGAGACTGGCTAGGCCACTCCAGGACCTTGAAATGCTTCTTACGAAGCCACTCCTTCGTTGCCCGGGCGGTGTGTTTGGGATCATTGTCATGCTGAAAGACCCAGCCACGTTTCATCTTCAATGCCCTTGCTGATGGAAGGAGGTTTTCACTCAAAATCTCACGATACATGGCCCCATTCATTCTTTCCTTTACACGGATCAGTCGTCCTGGTCCCTTTGCAGAAAAACAGCCCAAAAGCATGATGTTTCCACCCCCATGCTTCACAGTAGGTATGGTGTTCTTTGGATGCAACTCAGCATTCTTTGTCCTCCAAACTTGACGAGTTGAGTTTTTACCAAAAAGTTATATTTTGGTTTCATCTGACCATATGACATTCTCCCAATCCTCTTCTGGATCATCCAAATGCACTTCAGACGGGCCTGGACATGTACTGGCTTAAGCAGGGGGACACGTCTCGCACTGCAGGATTTGAGTCCCTGGCGGCGTAGTGTGTTACTGATGGTAGGCTTTGTTACTTTGGTCCCAGCTCTCTGCAGGTCATTCACTAGGTCCCCCCGTGTGGTTCTGGGATTTTTGCTCACCGTTCTTGTGATCATTTTGACCCCACGGGGTGAGATCTTGCGTGGAGCCCCAGATTGAGGGAGATTATCAGTGGTCTTGTATGTCTTCCATTTCCTAATAAATGCTCCCACAGTTGATTTCTTCAAACCAAGCTGCTTACCTATTGCAGATTCAGTCTTCCCAGCCTGGTGCAAGTCTACAATTTTGTTTCTGGTGTCCTTTGACAGCTCTTTGGTCTTGGCCATTGTGGAGTTTGGAGTGTGACTGTTTGAGGTTGTGGACAGGTGTCTTTTATACTGATAACAAGTTCAAACAGGTGCCATTAATACAGGTAACGAGTGGAGGACAGAGGAGCCTCTTAAAGAAGAAGTTACAGGTCTGTGAGAGCCAGAAATCTTGCTTGTTTGTAGGTGACCAAATACTTATTTTCCACCATAATTTGCAAATAAATTCATAAAAAATCCTACAATGGGATTTTCTGGATTTTTTTTTCTCAATTTGTCTGTCATAGTTGACGTGTACCTATGATGAAAATTACAGGCCTTTCTCATCTTTTTAAGTGGGAGAACTTGCACAATTGGTGGCTGACTAAATACTTTTTTTCCCCCACTGTATATAACTTTGCATATTTGCTACAGTGGAGCTTTCTTTTGCAACGCAGATCAGGAGTTAATTCAGTTGCATTTCCTGTGCTGCCGGCTATTACAAGGGCTAGGAAGGGTTTTTGTTCTTAGTTGACTAAACTTTCGTTAACTAGTGTTTCCTCTTTCCCCATCTCTCACACTTCCTCTAACTGTAGGTGCTTCTGTGTAAAACGGATCTATCATTTCTTCCCCTGAAGTACCAAGATGACTCCATTGTCAGTGTGCTGTGCGACAGTCACTTCTTACCCTAACAACTGGCCCAGGGCCCTTTTAACAAATGTTGAACAATCAAAACTTCAGTTTAGCCTGAGACTGGTTTCACTTCAGGATAGTTACAAGTTAGCCAGTTAACTTTGCTAAACACTCTATTTTGTACAGTTTACAATAAAGCTTAAAGTAATTTCTCCTTCTTTGAGATACACCATCCTGACGACCGGTCAGTTGTTAGGGGTAAGAAGTCACCTGTGTGTGCTGTGAATAGCAAGCAGCTGTTGTTTCAGATAAGTGCCTCCAAAGTGTTTAAACTAAGGGCTAGGCTGAGACCCAGGCCAAACCATCCCTCCATCTTGAATGGTCGGTATTTGAATGTTTTGAAATCAAAAGAGGTCATATGCTGTTTTTCAGTGTTGCCCTGAAGCTTTTTAGAGTTAGATATGTCAATGCCACCCTGTTTACATTATTTATTTGAGAGCAAATGTTTTATGATGATAAAGTTTTGTGCTTTTATGTTCAAGCTTACTACTGTATGTCTGTCACAGTATTATAGGCTGCTTATGAGAATAATATAATCATAAAAAGGTCAACCTTTATACAGCCTCACAGTATCACTTGTATTTAAACATCTCTTCTTTATTTGATGTGTTTCAGTTTGTATATGGGTTTATATTTGAAACGTGCTTTTGTTTGACTGAAGTAAAAGGTAAACTCAACAGCATCCAAGTCTCTGAATCCTTGTTTGTTGAACATAAGACATTGAGACCATTGGAGGCTCCTTAGAGGAGAAAGGGGAGGACCATCCTCCTCAGTGAATTTCATAAAAATAAAAATAGTGAAACATTAAAATGTATTTTTGTTGTTGTTGATAAAACCTATACTAAATATATTCACGTCACCAAAAAAATTGATTAAAACACACTGTTTTGCAATGAAGATCTACAGTAGCCTCAACAGCACTTTGTAGGGTAGCACCAACTTTCAACTTCTTAACTTGTCTAAAATGCTAAAATGTCCAAAAATAGTCCAAATTGGTGAAGTGAAATGAAAAGAATTCAAAAAACTAAATAACGGAAAAGTGGTGCATGCATATGTATTCACCCCCTTTGCGATGAAACCTTCCATAGACTTCCATAGTAATTATGACAACTTCTGGAGGACGTCCTCCAACCTATCAGAGCTCTTGCACGATGAACTGACATGTTGTCCACCCAATCAAAGGATAAGAGAATTAATCTAGTACTGCAAACATAAGCTACAGCTAGCTAGCACTGTGGTGAGTAGTTGACTCAAAGAGAGAGAAAGGCAATAGTTGAACAGTTTTGAACAAATCGATTTCTTCAAAAATAAAGGAGAAGCAAGAGCGAGAGAGAGCTAGCTATATTTCATATTTTTTTATCTTTCACTTACTTAGCAAATGCAGCTAGCTAGTTTAGCCTACTCAAACACCCGGCTCAAACAGAGAGAGATGCTATGTTACCTAGCTGGCTATCCAACACTGGAACTCTTCCAAGTCAAGGTAAGCTTTTGGTTTTATTAATGTATTGCCACCGGGGCCCGTCAGTATAACTGCTAAAATGCTTGCTGACTGTACACTGTACTGCAGGTTTACTAACGCATTAGTTCTAGTAGCTATGTTGACTTGACGTTAGCTAATATGGTGAAAACTATGTAGGCTGTGTGTAGCGGTTATGATATGAAGGTTTAGCTTGGAAAAGTTTTTTTCGCCTGGTCACAGACAGCTGATGTGTTGTGCACTGAAGTATAAAAAGCAAAGGAAAAAGGTGAGAGGAGAACGCGTAGATGCGAGAAGGAATTATCCAACGATAATGCTGTTTATATGTGGCTGTTATGAAAGTGAACTGTGTTTTCGTGTGATCAGGTGTGTATTAATTCTGCCAATTCTGTTGATAATTTTTTTGTCCAATAGAAACTCATTTGCAACTGTTGGACTAATGATTACACCCTAGATCAGCTAGATGCAGGCAAGATTGTCACATTCAATACCGTCTTGCACAATGTCTGTCACCTTGATTACTCAAATGTATCTCGACCTGTGCACCTACAGTATGTTGTAAACTTTCATTCATAGGCTAGGTTGTAGCAACCTCATGATGGGTATAGGGAAAATGTGAGTATCATGTAGTAGCCTAAACCTATCGATGTTACATTGAGCTGGGTGAATGGAATATGAATGACAGTCATCCAATATGCTGTAATAGAAATAAGGCCATGCTCATAAATTTTTTTGCGTCCTCCCTCATCTTAAATGGCACCAACCGCCACTGGTTGAGAAGTTGTTGAACATAAGAAGTTTTCTCTCAGAGTTGTTGATACGAATAGTAGAACCTGATCCTTGACCTTCATGCACATGACTGTTTCTTATAGTATACTGTGTATGTGTGTGTGTGTACAGTGAGGGAAAAAAAGTATTTGATCCCCTGCTGATTTTGTACGTTTGCCCACTGACAAAGACATGATCAGTCTATAATTTTAATGGTAGGTTTATTTGAACAGTGAGAGACAGAATAACAACAAAATAATCCAGAAAAACGCATGTAAAAAATGTTATAAATTGATTTGCATTTTAATGAGGGAAATAAGTATTTGACCCCTCTGCAAAACATTACTTAGTACTTGGTGGCAAAACCCTTATTGGCAATCACAGAGGTCAGACGTTTCTTGTAGTTGGCCACCAGGTTTCCACACATCTCAGGAGGGATTTTGTTCCACTCCTCTTTGCAGATCTTCTCCAAGTCATTAAGGTTTCGAGGCTGACGTTTGGCAACTCGAACCTTCAGCTCACTCCACAGATTTTCTATGGGATTAAGGTCTGGAGACTAGCTAGGCCACTCCAGGACCTTAATGTGCTTCTTATTGAGCCACTCCTTTGTTGCCTTGGCCGTGTGTTTTGGGTCATTATCATGCTGGAATACCCATCCACGACCCATTTTCAATGCCTTGGCTGAGGGAAGGAGGTTCTCGCCCAAGATTTGACGGTACATGGCCCCGTCCATCGTCCCTTTGATGCGGTGAAGTTGTCCTATCCCCTTAGCAGAAAAACACCCCCAAAGCATAATGTTTCCACCTCCATGTTTGACAGTGGGGATGGTGTTCTTGGGGTCATAGGCAGCATTCCTCCTCCTCCAAACACGGCGAGTTGAGTTGATACCAAAGAGCTCGATTTTGGTCTCATCTGACCACAACACTTTCACCCAGTTCTCATCTGAATCATTCAGATGTTCATTGGCAAACTTCAGACGGCCCTGTATATGTGCTTTCTTGAGCAGGGGGACCTTGCGGTCGCTGCAGGATTTCAGTCCTTCACGGCGTAGTGTGTTACCAATTGTTATCTTGGTCACTATGGTCCCAGCTGCCTTGAGATAATTGACAAGATCCTCCCGTGTAGTTCTGGGCTGATTCCTCACCGTTCTCATGATCATTGCAACTCCACGAGGTGAGATCTTGCATGGAGCCCCAGGCCGAGGGAGATTGACAGTTATTTTGTGTTTCTTCCATTTGCGAATAATCGCACCAACTGTTGTCACCTTCTCACCAAGCTGCTTGGCGATGGTCTTGTAGCCCATTCCAGCCTTGTGTAGGTCTACAATCTTGTCCCTGACATCCTTTGAGAGCTCTTTGGTCTTGGCCATGGTGGAGAGTTTTTAATCTGATTGATTGATTGCTTCTGTGGACAGGTGTCTTTTATATAGGTAATAAACTGAGATTATGACCACTCCCTTTAAGAGTGTGCTCCTAATCTCAGCTCGTTACCTGTATAAAAGACACCTGGGAGCCAGAAATCTTTCTGATTGAGAGGGGGTCAAATACTTATTTCCCTCATTAAAATGCAAATCAATTTGTAACATTTTTGCCATGCGTATTTCTGGATTATGTTGTTGTTATTCTGTCTCTCACTGTTCAAATAAACCTACCATAAAAATTATTGACTGATAATTTCTTTGTCAGTGGGCAAACGAACAAAATCAGCAGGGGATCAAATACTTTTTTCCCTCACTGTATATAAATACAGTGGGGGAAAAAAGTATTAAGTCAGCCACCAATTGTGCAAGTTCTCCCACTTAAAAAGATGAGAGAGGCCTGTAATTTTCATCATAGGTACACGTCAACTATGACAGACAAAATGAGAAAAAAAAATCCAGAAAATCACATTGTAGGATTTTTAATGAATTTATTTGCAAATTATGGTGGAAAATAAGTATTTGGTCAATAAGAAAAGTTTCTCAATACTTTGTTATATACCCTTTGTTGGCAATGACACAGGTCAAACGTTTTCTGTAAGTCTTCACAAGGTTTTCACACACTGTTGCTGGTATTTTGGCCCATTCCTCCATGCAGATCTCCTCTAGAGCAGTGATGTTTTGGGGCTGTCGCTGGGCAACACAGACTTTCAACTCCCTCCAAAGATTTTCTATGGGGTTGAGATCTGGAGACTGGCTAGGCCACTCCAGGACCTTGAAATGCTTCTTACGAAGCCACTCCTTCGTTGCCCGGGCGGTGTGTTTGGGATCATTGTCATGCTGAAAGACCCAGCCACGTTTCATCTTCAATGCCCTTGCTGATGGAAGGAGGTTTTCACTCAAAATCTCACAATACATGGCCCCGGATCAGTCGTCCTGGTCCCTTTGCAGAAAAACAGCCCCAAAGCATGATGTTTCCACCCCCATGCTTCACAGTAGGTATGGTGTTCTTTGGATGCAACTCAGCATTCTTTGTCCTCCAAACACGACGAGTTGAGTTTTTACCAAAAAGTTCTATTTTGGTTTCATCTGACCATATGACATTCTCCCAATCCTCTTCTGGATCATCCTAATGCACTCTAGCAAACTTCAGATGGGCCTGGACATGTACTGGTTTAAGCAGGGGGACACGTCTGGCACTGCAGGATTTGAGTCCCTGGCGGCGTAGTGTGTTACTGATGGTAGGCTTTGTTACTTTGGTCCCAGCTCTCTGCAGGTCATTCACTAGGTCTCCCCGTGTGGTTCTGGGATTTTTGCTCACCGTTCTTGTGATCATTTTGACCCCACGGGGTGAGATCTTGCGTGGAGCCCCAGATCGAGGGAGATTATCAGTGGTCTTGTATGTCATCCATTTCCTAATAATTGCTCCCACAGTTGATTTCTTCAAACCAAGCTGCTTACCTATTGCAGATTCAGTCTTCCCAGCCTGGTGCAGGTCTACAATTTTGTTTCTGGTGTCCTTTGACAGTTCTTTGGTCTTGGCCATAGTGGAGTTTGGAGTGTGACTGTTTGAGGTTGTGGACAGGTGTCTTTTATACTGATAACAAGTTCAAACAGGTGCCATTAATACAGGTAACAAGTGGAGGACAGAGGAGCCTCTTAAAGAAGAAGTTACAGGTCTGTGAGAGCCAGAAATCTTGCTTGTTTGTAGGTGACCAAATACTTATTTTCCACCATAATTTGCAAATAAATTCATTAAAAATCCTACAATGTGATTTTCTGGAATTTTATTTCTCAATTTGTCTGTCATAGTTGAAAATTACAGGCCTTTCTCATCTTTTTAAGTGGGAGAACTTGCACAATTGGTGGCTGACTAAATACTTTTTTCCCCCACTGTGTGTGTGTATATATATATATATATATATATATATATATATCCAATGTCCCCTTCCCCTATTCAAGTATACAGAATTCCCAGCTGAAAATGTCCATACACTTCCATTAATGACCTGGGAAAGGTCCAAGTATGATAGACATTCCTGTGTTGCTGGGTGGGACATTGCCTAAACACAGGGAAATACTGATTAGTACCTCCTCCTCACTATTGCTGGTGAAGGAGGCAAGGGAATACACTTTATAAAGTACACACTCTTAGAAAGGGTTCTGCGTCTGTCCCCATAGGAGAACCCTTTTTGGTTCCAGGTAGATCTCTTTTGGGTTACATGTAGAACCGTCTGTGGAAAGGGTTGTACACTCTTTTTCTAAGAGGGTGGATGGTATTATTACAGTTATGTTGTTGACAAAATCATGTTGTCTTCCCGAGTTTCAGGCTAATGTATGTTACTAATGTAAATGGAGGTGATATTTTAGATATTTTAAAAAGCTGTGCTGCTGCCCAAACATCTGGTCTCATGACGATCTGATATCAACCTACTCTATTGGCACAGAGAGCCCTGGTACAGAGAGGCCTGGCACAGAGAGGCCTGGTACAGAGAGGCCTGGCACAGAGAGGCCTGCCAGGAATATGGCAGCAGAGCCATTATGTGTGAGAGTCAGAGGCATGAGCACCACTACCCCCCTGCAATATGGTGTCCATTACTGGCCTGTTGATCAAACCCTCCATGAAAAGCTCTGTTTCGGTTTCAGCTACATACACTTCAGGAGAAGGCAGACTAGTCCAGTCTGAGAAGGGAGATGGGAGGGAGGGAGCAGTGGAAGAAGTGAGAGGTCTGTGGAGACATTGTTTGGGTTTGAGATGGGAGGGAAGGCTAGTAGGGGAACATTACTCACCCTGTGCTGGCTCCAGCAGCCCTGCTCTCCCTGGGGCCTCATTTGTTTACTTTTAGCAGCCCAAAGAAGCAGCTTCCTGTTCACCAACTGCATTTATTCTGATGTGCGTAGCTGACGGCTTCTATGAGCTTTATAGCTCCATTATCTGCCTCTCACAATATAAGCAGAGGGAATAAATTATTGTTATTTCATGTTATTCACAGTTTCATTAGTGGAGGTCATTTACATAATTCAAATAAGCATAAAGGACAATACTAATGCTGGGTTTAGGAGCTGGGGATAAAATACGTGGCAGGACTTTGGTCTCTACCCACCCATATAATACAGTATATTGTGACATTTTTATACAAAATGTGTAAAACTGCATTTAAATGATAATAGGCTTTGGATTTAGAATAGCAAAAATGACCTCAGGGACAATCATTTTATGAATATCTTTAAGTGGTTGACCACTCCTTAAAAACGGTTTCTATAATGGTTGGGATTCCCTGAGCAATTCCTGTTGTCTCCTGAGTAACGTGCGCCCCCTTGTGGACTAACTGAATTCACACGCACGTTGAGGGGTCGGACTGTACAACACTTGAAAACAGAATTATCTCTGATACAGTAGAATTAATACAAGGGCTAAATAAGAGCACAGATATAGCTAGATATAGCACACTAGCTACATCGAGGATATGTACAGATAAAGCTCTTAACCAGTAATCCCATGAAACGAAATACTTCAGAAAAGTGATGGCATTTATTCCATGGCGAATTATTAACACAATATAGATTTTTTTTTTTATTACAAAAAATGAACGCATAAAACATTGGCATCTATGAATATTACTAGTCATTATTAAGGCACAGGTTTAGATAAGGGACCAGATATGTCCAATTCCAAGTCAAACCCTCAACTCTAGCTATTTAATGTACTGTATATCTGATAGGATTTTTAAAATAGTGCACTAGTGTCACATTGCTTTCATCGACAACACCACATGAATTCAACATGAACCTTTTACAGTATTTGTCCTGAGTAAACACTGTTATTGTACTGTACTTGGATGGGAATGTCTTGCTTATAAGGGCTTTGTCAGTCAGGGGTCAACACTGATTATAACAGCTGTCACTTCTCAATTTATTTAACCTTTATTTAACTAGGCAAGTCAGTTAAGAACAAATTCTTATTTACAATGACGGCCTACACCGGCCACACCCGGACGACGCTGGGCCAATTGTGCGCCGCCCTATGGGACTCCCAGTCACGGTCGGTTGTGATACAGCCTGGAATCGAACCAGGGGGGCTGTAGTGACGCCTCAAGCACTGAGATGCAGTGTCTTAGACCGCTGCGCCACTCGGGAGCCCATACTAATGTCTTATTATAGATTTCTACCCTATTACTTTAAACTAAACTATCACCTAAGACATTTCAGATCAGCCGCTGGATGAATCCAGCATATCATTTGTCTCACTGTTGATTGACTCAGATTGCGTTTAAGACATTTCTGACCCTATCCAAAATAACATGCTATTTATCAAGTAAGTAATTAATTGGCCAATCAAAAGAGGTCTCCATCAGTACAATCCCAAGATATTCTCTGAAACATATCGCTGACCTTACCTTTAAGTTTGCTGTAGAGTAGGCTACACAATAAGGTTGACTAAAATATGAACCTTGAGGTCTCATTCTAACCTGAAAGTCACTTAATTCAAGGTCACATGATTGAACAGAAGAAAAACTGAAAGCATAAAATCCATCCAGGACAATAAATAGTATATTTCCAATCTTCCATAACCCTGACCCCTCCCTACCACCAAGTTTACTTCTGAAATAAAGAAAAACACATACTACTAAAATACAAACTGCTGTTGAAAAGGCATACATCATTTAAAAACATTACAGATAGTCAATTACAGTTAAAGTTTCATTGATTGCTATATTTAAAATGTATCTATATAGTATGAACACCAATAAGGCACGTGGAGTTGGACTCGCATAGACATACTGGGGAGTTTTCTTGCATGGACTGAAAGTTTGAAACCATAGAAATCAATGACTTTTGGGGAGAAATAAGTCTGTAAAATAAAATTACAGACATAGGGGCCCATTAAAAAAGTTTCTGGCATGACTGTTCCCATTCCCTATTAAAAAGTTTAAATTGAAACATTTTTCCATTTGATTGTCATTCCTTAAAACTGGCTAATATATTATGTCCAGCCTTTTAAAACAATTTATTCCAGTTAAAATACTGTAACTGTACTATCCGAAATGGATATGAATGTGTTGGGTTTGACTGTAAATAACTAGATAAAATATTGTTGTTCAACTCCCAAACCTTTTCCTTCTTTTTTGTGTGTGAGAAATTAGATACAGCATTTTGCATAGCTGGAGCCATCTTGACAAGATTAAGAAAAATATTACAGATAGGTGCTCATCCCAGTAATGACAGTGAGTGGTAAGGCAATACAGTGATCTTATAATCTCATATTAGTCTATTACAGGGCTCTCCAACCCTGTTCCCGGAGAGCTACAGTCATGTAGGTTTTCGCTCCAACCCTAATCTAGCACACCTGATTCTAATAAGTAGCTGGTTGATCAGGTTAGTTACAACTGGGGTTGGAGTGAAAACCTACAGGAGGATAGATCTCCAAGAACAGGGTTGGAGAGCCATGGTCTATTTTAATTAATCAATGAGTGGTCCCATTCCAAGCAGGTCCATAGTCCAAGGGAATGAAATGTATACAGCACAGGCCAAGTCTCCAACAAAAATGGTCCCACTGCTAAGAATAAAACCTTTAAATCATATCTTTAAAATGCTGGAGATTTCTTTCCTGCTTTTAAGCAGATATAAGGTGGTCCTCTGATGGTCTTAGTGTGTTGCCTGTTTGCGTGTGTGTGTGTGAGAAAGAGATACCAGTGTTACACTCGTTTAGGTATCCTTGGGCCTAGTCTGCTTCATTCTGTTCCCTGTTGAGTTTCTCGGCCTCTGCCACGGGGGCCTCACCGTTGCTTGCGGCTTGCTGGTTGGTCCTTTTAAAAGGAAAACCCCTGGTCTTCACAAACCAGCCAGCATCCACCAGGAATGCCATAGTGGCCAGGAAGCCAAATGCCTGAAAATAAAAAAGTTATAAATTATTACTAAGCATTAACATTAGTAAAACATCTTGTAACTAAGAGTACAAAAATGACACTCTAAACAGTTTAAAACAAAATGGTTCTCCTTTCTATCTAAACCCAGCTTTGTTTGGGCTGGTATTTTTTGTCTTCAATTGAGAAAACACTAACCAGGATCCTGACGTATGAGGAAAGTCTGAGTAAAGATGTTAGTTTACCACAGCAGCATTCTCCAGGTCAGTTCCACCATTATCTGAGACAAATACAATGGAGGCGATGAGGAAGAATGCAGCCATCAAAGCCGTGTACACAAAGTCCTGCAAGAGACAGGTCAGCATGGTTATACACCAGCATACATTTAAATATGATTACAAGTACCCTCACATACACACGCAGGCTTCATGAAATGTCATTTTTCACAAAGTCTTATGAATGATAAACCTACAAAATGCCAGGAAAGTCAGTGAGCCTCATTTATCAACATTATGTGTACATTCACACACACACACACACACACACACACACGCTGAGGACTCACCACAGCGGGCCAGTAGTTGATGCCCACTCTCTTGTGCAGGTTGGTAGCGAGGAGGACGAGGAGGAGAGCTGTGAAGAGGAAGGCTGTGCAGCTGACAAACTCAAAGAAGTAGAGCGGAGAGCAGCTCATGCAGGTCGTCACTACCTCTTCGAGAATGAAGGCCACGAACGACAGGAGCTGAGGACATAAGTCAAAACTAACTGATCTCCCACTGTTATCATGTACTACCCCAGTCTCAATAACAGATGGCACTGTTTACTACCAGAGTTAAATGGGAAGTTTTGTTTTGTCTCAGAGCAGGGTAGAGGTCATTTAGTGTCGTCAATTATGCTTGTGCATGGCTTAAGTACTGATGGACTCAGGATTCTGTCTTAACGCAATCTTTATATTCTGTGCCAATATAGTGTTTTCAAACTGAATTGCCATCAGTAGAGTTGACTATCATAGCCCTATGTAAATGTGGGTATATGAAAATGTCTAAATATTTCATGCAAAATTCAGAGTTGGACTTGGAGGAAGGGACAACTCTTTCATGTAATCTTCACAATGAGAGGATTCTTCTGGTGTGACCATCACAGTACTCTTAAAGCTCATCAGTGTGATGGAAGCACCAGATACTGGCTCTATTCATCATACTACACCACACACAATAGCTTTTTCATGTTCCCATTAGAACTGTGACCAACTAAAGGATCCACCCCTTTACAACACCCACAGACCCCATTTTGCTTTCTCAATATCCACTATTAATAAAGATTCCTAAGAAAGAAAGGGAAATACTGAAAATGTATATTTTTGTTTTCTGAAACCAAGAGACTGGACCACACAAGGCCAGCAAAACCAGACATTAACTGACTCACACGGTTAGTGTTTTTTTGTTTTCTTGGCGATTGTTTGGAAGGAACAGGGCAGGTCGGCTTCCTCAGGAATCAAGGTCAACAACTCCGCTACCATGCAGATAGCATATTACACTGAGGATCTGTCCTCACACTATTCAGACAGTGCTAAATGGGTACCTAAAACTAAACGAGACAGCAAACACATGCTCACTGTAATACGGTGCCAAGCATAATGTGCCATATGTGTATCTAGAAGAACAGTGGCTTAAACTGTACAGTTTGTAGGCCTTAGTGCCATATTACAAGGTAAAATGCACCACAGTCGGTTTCACCCCAGCCTTAGTGTTAATGAAGCCACAGCTCTACATTTCCAGGTTTACTACATGACCATATGGAGACAGTCTGACATCAACCCTGTAATAAAGACTGGGCCTCCTCCAGAAAGAGGACATCTTTCTGCAGTACCTTTAATACTTTCTTTACAGTCTGTTGTGTGTGACTGTGTGTGTGTGGACGTGTTTAACTATTCTTGTGGTGACCAGAAGTACCCACAAGAATAGTAAACGAACAAACATTTGACCAACTGTGGACATTTTGTTAGTCCCCACAAGGTCAAATGCTATTTTTAGGGGGTTAAGGTTAGAATTAGTGTTAGGGTTACAATTACATTAAGGGTTAGGAGCTAGAGTTAGTTTTAGGGTTAGGTTTTTGGGTTAAGGTTAGGGTAAGAGTACAGGTTAAGGTTTAGGGGTTAGGTAAAATAGGATTTTGAATGGGACTGTATTGTGTGTCCCCCACAAGGTTAGCTGTACAAGACTGTGTGTGTGTGAGAGTGTGTTCTATGAACACACAACTCCAGCAAAGTGTTGTTGCAAGAGAAAGAGTAGCACGTCAGAAAGAAGAAGAATCCAGGGTTCTGTGGCTTTAAGTGGGAAATGCTTTAAATTACATTTAATTCCACAGATCTTTATGTGCAATGAGCTTGCCAAGCATTCTTGCAATGTTGATCATATTTGGAGGAATCCATAGTTTCTCTCTCACACACACACAGTCAGTGATAATAAGGTCAAACAGCAAGTCTTAAAATAACCCTGGTAATTACATTTTGCATCTGGCTGCTAATTTCATTTGCAGTGCACCGCTAGACACTAGGCGGTATTGCTAACACCTGGCTCTGATTAGCTTGACTAGGAACCCAGTGATTTGAGGAAGACAGAGCCCCGTCAACTCTGTCTGTCTCCAGACTGCGGTCCCACAAGAGAAACTCTGAATGAACTCAGATTTCCTGCTCCAGAAGGAGACTCAATTCCCCCAAAGAATTGCCTGGACTAAGAGCTCAAATCACAAACTATGGCAACTAGTAAACCTCCACCTCTAACCTGCTTACTCACAGGCCAACCTAATAGTACAAGAGGTGCCCTCAACCAAATAAGCCCTCCATCCTGCCCGGAAACAGTTTGTTTCAAGATCTTGTTAACTGGGGAGAAATACAAGGTAGAAGCCATGAACCATGTGATTTGAATTCAATTGAAGATCACAAGATAACATTTCACTGCAGTTAGGAAGGCAGTCAAATAGTTGAAGCCTTGACAATGAGGTCTAGGAATAAGAGGAAGCCATTCATGATATCCAGTTCAAAATGTAGACATTTCACAACTCTGCCACTTGTGATGACCAGCGGGGCACAGAAAGGGGTCAAACATTAGTCAACAGCAGTCTGCTGTAGTAGCCTCACTCAATTCAACAGAATTCCAAGATCTGTCTTCTGCTTGTAAAGACACACCCCCTGAACATATGCACGCCACGTACACTTGTTGACTTAAGCACGACTGCTGTTTCATCAAGGCCTACACGGAGGCATCTCAATTGTCTAAAATGGTTTCCGACCCAGTCTCCTCTTTAATATGTAAGCTAGGTGATACGTCCAACTGTCCAATCGGAGTGCTGTTCCAGACAGGCTATATAGAGCTAAATATACAGGATCTGGTTTCAGCTACCCTCAATAGGATACAGCAGCTCCAGTGACTGATTTGGACTCTGAAATCTGAAGAAGAAAAAAACGTTGCCGTCTTAGGCCTGACGATCAGTTAAAGGTTCCTGAGGGTCATCTCTGCTGACAAATACCCCACCCCATCATGAAGGGGATGTGGGAGGACAGGGTGTGGTCTGATGAGTGCATCATCACCAGCACTGATGCAACTGTTCTATAGAACAGTCGGACTCACAACATTTAAAGGAACAATGAAGAACAACTGCTGACAATGGTCGCACCCTGAGAAGGCCACAAAAGTTATGGTTTACAAACTTGCCTGTTAATTGTGGGATGTTTTTGTGGGATAGACAGCCCACAGTTTCTGGGAGCCAGATCCAGTTACATACAAAACAATGAAATGGTAGCATTTGAAAAATCTGCATATTCTATGTCTATTTACTACACGCAGACTATCCACTTCCAAGGAACTTGGTATCATAACTGACAAGGGAGCTAGGTGTTAATACTTAGACATTTTACATACACACTTGTTCATCTGGTCTTATGTCTGGAGCACAAAGTAAACATGTGATGACACCACTAGGTAAAATGTCATATTGCCACCAGAGTTGATCTAACCCTGTTTTACTACTCGGTGCCATCAGAAAATACAGATAGATAGACCAGAAGGTTGTTGTCTTCCTCTCCTCTGAAATACACTGAACAAAAATATAAACGCAACATGCAACAATTTCAAAGATGTTACTGAGTTACAGTTCATATAAGGAAATCAGTCAATTGAAATAAAATTCATTAGGCCCTAAATCTATGGATTTCACTTGACTGGGAATACAGATATGCATCTGTTGGTCACAGATACCTTTTTTTTTTTGTGGCAGCATGGATCAGAAAACCAGTCAGTATCCAGAGCATCCCAAACATGCTCAATGGGTGACATGTCTGGTGAGTACGCAGGCCATGGAATAACTGGGACATTTTCAGCTTCCAGGATTTGTGTACAGATCCTTGCGACATGGGGCCATGCATTATCATACTGAAACATGAGGTAATGGCGGCGGATGAATGGCACGACAATGGGCCTCCGGATCTCGTCACGGTATCTCTGTGCATTCAAATTGCCATAGATAAAGTGCAATTGTGTTCGTTGTCCGCAGCTTATGCCTGCCCATACCATAACCCCACCATGGAGCATTCTGTTCAAAACGTTGACATCAGCAAACCACTCGCCCACATGAAACGTTGACATCTGTGGTAGTGAGGCCAGTTGGACGTACTGCCAAATTCTCTAAAACGACATTGGAGGCGGCTTATGATAGAGAAATGAACATGTAATTCTCTGGCAACCGCTCTGGTGGACATTCCTGCAGTCAGAATGCCAATTGCACACTCCCTCAAAACTTGGGACATCTGTGGCATTGTGTTGTGTGAAAAACACTGCACATTTCAGTGGCCTTTTATTGTCCCCAGCACAAGGTGCACCTGTGTAATGATCGTGCCATTTAATCAGCTTCTTGATATGCCACACCTGTCAGGTGAATGGATTATCTTGGCAAAGGAGAAATGCTCACTAACTGGGATGTAAACACATTTGTGCACAAAATCTGAGAGAAATAAGCTTTTTGTGCATATGGAAAGTGTCTGGGATCATTTCTTTCAGCTCATGAAACATGGGACCAACACTTTACATATTGTATTTATATTTTTGTTCAGTGTAGTTTCATTTTATGCTTGAATTAAGATTTTGCCCAACAGTGGAACATTGAACAACAACAAAAAGTTGTACAATAACATTATCATAACACTATGATAGAACATTACTTACCACTTGAACCACCTTTATCAAACATCTGAATTTATCCAAATTATCTGTTGGTACAATGAACCACTTTTTGGATTTGTTCTCTGAAACGGTTGTTGGACTGTACACTGCATCCGCTGTAGCCATGGTGTGACTGAAATGAATATATTTTAAGAAATAATTACAACCACAATAAGACTGCAACTATGTACTTCCTGTTACATTTTAGGCCTATCATGTATTAAAAGTATCACACCAGCGGCAAACTACAGAGCGAAAGCGAAAGCGTGGCATTTTGTTAACTTCAAAAGACACACGATGGATTAAATAATTTTGGGTTAAATTTAGGGTAGCCTGTCACTGGACATCTTTACAAGTATCGACTGATACCGACTCAATGTAGTCGAAGATAGGCTACACCGCCAAAACTCATCGCCTCCGCGCTCAACTCCATCGGGTATCTTAGCTAGGGTAGACTGCATAAAATACTGACATGAGTGAGAACATACAGCCTGTCCCACGATGTAATAAAGATTAAATCAAATTGAAAATAAAACTAAGGAAGGCTATAGCCTAAGCAATGGACTCACGTGTCAAGTTTGGAACAATCAACTGAATAGGTATGACTTGACGAGCGATATCGTATTTCCACGACTTTCCAATGCGAAGCCCTTTGTTGTTGCGTTCTTGTTTAAAGCCTGGACCCACACTTCCGCAAATGAACGGATGATCTCAACCCCTGTAGTTAACAGTAGAGTAGCCTAGCCTATGGGGGGTGATATGTGCCAGAATTAAGCCTTGGCAACCGTAACACCGTGTGGCTGTCGCCTACCATTGAACGTCTGACTGACATGACATCATACCAACGCCTTACTAACGTCTGTGTGACGCCTGCTTGTTAATGAAAGTCATAAGGTGCATAGTTTATATTTATATTAATTAAATCTCAACCATAAATGTTAGAAATGTACAATTTTTCCCATGCAAGCCGACATTCAGAAGTAGCAACTTTGAGCTATAGTGTAGCCTATGGCTTGTGTATTTCCTGTTATGGCTAATTGCCAATAAAATATTATGTCCAATCTATAGGTAATCTGTCTTTCCCTCAACACCTCATGGCATGTTATGTTGTCTTTTCTGGCTGTATACAGATCTTAAATGTTGTTAGCCAATCACAGACTGTATTGTTACCAGTTCCCAGTAGCCTACACCAGACAACCAATAAGAGTTGTGTCCATGGCTTTCAGTCGAATAGAGGAGTTCATAGGCTTTCCCAGAAGGTCCGTGCAATTCGGAATCCTTGGGAAGTCCCTACCTCAATCAAGTATAAATGTAAAATGGTTAAGTTTAGTGTTAGTTAGTTATAGTTTAGGGTTCAGGGTAGGGACATCCCAAGGAATCCGAATAGCAGTGACCATTCATAGAGTGAGAGACAGGGCACGGTATTTGAGAGCTCGGCAGCCACACAGACATTAATTACAAGCCGCAGACGCGATTTTCGAGAGCGTCTGCCCCAGACAGTTTCTGTAGAGATGATGAAAATTATTGTACTTGATCCGATTGAGGAGTAAGTAGGCTATATTTAAGTTGTGATATCGTTAGGAAATATTTAGGCCTACTATGTTGATAAGGCAAATTTGGTTTATTTGAAAATAATTACTTTTTGTTGATAACGAGTTGATAATGTATTGTCGAAAGCACGTAGGCAATATTATTTACTGTCGATAGGGGAGTAGGCTAGTGTACAATAATAAAGTAATTTGATGTGCTAGTATTATTTATTTCATGGATGAATTAAATTGTAAATAAAAAATATACTATAGGATATATACATATTTAACATTGTAATACACTACCCCAACATGCCATTGTACTATAGGATATATACATATTTAACATTGTAATACACTACCCCAACATGCCATTGTACTATAGGATATATACATATTTAACATTGTAATACACTACCCCAACATGCCATTGTACTATAGGATATATACATATTTAACATTGTAATACACTACCCCAACATGCCATTGTACTATAGGATATATACATATTTAACATTGTAATACACTACCCCAACATGCCATTGTACTATAGGATATATACATATTTAACATTGTAATACACTACCCCTACATGCCATTGTGTGCTGGAGCTATGGGTTTATTTTTCCACTGTCACTAGGCCTACACATTCACACTCGAACTGAATTGAATGGGGGATGCATAACTACTTCTCACTGAAGAAGGGAACGAGGTATGACATACAACTTCGATCGAAGACCTTAAAATCATGTCTGACAAGACCAATGAAATCATAACGGTATCCTAATATAGTGTGGATACAGGAGTATTTTTATTTTTATTTAACCTTTATTTAACTAGGCAAGTCAGTTAAGAACAAATTGTTATTTACAATGACGGCCTACCAAAAGGCAAAAGGCCTCCTGCGGGAACAGGGGCTGGGATTCAAAATAAAAAACTACATAAAAATATAGGACAAAACAAATATCACGACAAGAGAGACACTACATAAAGAGAGTAGCCTATTCTACAATAATGTAACTGTATGTGCTTGTATTATTTATCTAATTGATAAATGAAATTGTAAATGTGGATGGGTACGCTACTTCATTCAATGATTATGGTATTGTACAAGGTAGATACAGGAGTAGCCTATAGTCTACAATAATAATGTTATTGAATGTGCAATAGTATAATTTATTTCATTGATTAATGAAATTGTAAATGGGGATGGGTAGGCTACTTCATTCAGTGAATACTGAATGTCTCGCTATCTCTGGGAGTATGTTAATGAAGGCTTTTCAGCTGTTGAACTATGGCAAGGTCGAACTAATTTCTAAATCTATCTTTCTTTTAGTCAAGAAGTGATGAGCCAGAGCAACCAATCAGCGTCACTGTAGCTGTTCTACCCACCACCCACACTGCTCTCCATCCACAAGCAACCACATCCTCTTCTCCTGTTCAATTCATTTGCCACCACACTGAAAAGGACTGTACAGTGAGGGAAAAAAGTATTTGATCCCCTGCTGATTTTGTACGTTTGCCCACTGACAAAGACATGATCAGTCTATAATTTTAATGGTACGTTTATTTGAACAGTGAGAGACAGAATAACAACAAAATAATCCAGAAAAATGCATGTCAAAAATGTTATAAATTGATTTGCATTTTAATGAGGGTGTCACGAATTCCGCCGAGACTGCTCCTCCTCCTTGTTCGGGCAGGCTTCGGCGTTCGTTGTCCCCGGAGTACTAGCTGCTACCGCTTGATGTTCTCTATGTTTGTTTGGTTTTGTCTTGTTGGTGCACCTGTTTCGTATTATGTATTGATTAGGTCACCTATAAGTTTCCTTTGGTTTTGTTTGCAGTTGTGTGTTGTTGTCCGCCTGTCCGCTGGTGAATGTTAATTGTTTTCTAGTTGTTAGTATTTTACGCACGTTTTGCGTAATCGCTCGCCTCCTGTGTTTTGAGGCCCGTTATTTTGTATTTGTCTTTGTGACAATTAAAGTCGTTTTCGACTAAGCTTCTGTGTCCTGCGCCTGACTCCAACACCGCATCCACATCAGCTTCTGACAGAGGGAAATACGTTTTTGACCCCTCTGCAAAACATTACTTAGTACTTGGTGGCAAAACCCTTGTTGGCAATCTCAGAGGTCAGACGTTTCTTGTAGTTTCTTCAGGTTTGCACACATCTCAGGAGGGATTTTGTTCAACCTCATGATGGGTATAGGGAAAATGTGAGTATCATGTAGTAGCCTAAACCTATCGATGTTACATTGAGCTGGGTGAATGGAATATGAATGACAGTCATCCAATATGCTGTAATAGAAATAAGGCCATGCTCATAAAAAATGTTGCGTCCTCCCTCATCTTAAATGGCACCAACCGCCACTGGTTGAGAAGTTGTTGAACATAAGACGTTTTCTCTCAGAGTTGTTGATACGAATAGTAGAACCTGATCCTTGACCTTCATGCACATGACTGTTTCTTATAGTATACTGTGTGTGTGTGTGTGTGTACAGTGAGGGAAAAAAAGTATTTGATCCCCTGCTGTTTTGTACGTTTGCCCACTGATCAGTCTATAATTTTAATGGTAGGTTTATTTGAACAGTGAGAGACAGAATAACAACAAAATAATCCAGAAAAACGCATGTAAAAAATGTTATAAATTGATTTGCATTTTAATGAGGGAAATAAGTATTTGACCCCTCTGCAAAACATTACTTAGTACTTGGTGGCAAAACCCTTATTGGCAATCACAGAGGTCAGACGTTTCTTGTAGTTGGCCACCAGGTTTCCACACATCTCAGGAGGGATTTTGTTCCACTCCTCTTTGCAGATCTTCTCCAAGTCATTAAGGTTTCGAGGCTGACGTTTGGCAACTCGAACCTTCAGCTCACTCCACAGATTTTCTATGGGATTAAGGTCTGGAGACTGGCTAGGCCACTCCAGGACCTTAATGTGCTTCTTATTGAGCCACTCCTTTGTTGCCTTGGCCGTGTGTTTTGGGTCATTATCATGCTGGAATACCCATCCACGACCCATTTTCAATGCCTTGGCTGAGGGAAGGAGGTTCTCGCCCAAGATTTGATGGTACATGGCCCCGTCCATCGTCCCTTTGATGCGGTGAAGTTGTCCTGTCCCCTTAGCAGAAAAACACCCCCAAAGCATAATGTTTCCACCTCCATGTTTGACAGTGGGGATGGTGTTCTTGGGGTCATAGGCAGCATTCCTCCTCCTCCAAACATGGCGAGTTGAGTTGATGCCAAAGAGCTCAATTTTGGTCTCATCTGACCACAACACTTTCACCCAGTTCTCCTCTGAATCATTCAGATGTTCATTGGCAAACTTCAGACGGCCCTGTATATGTGCTTTCTTGAGCAGGGGGACCTTGCGGGCGCTGCAGGATTTCAGTCCTTCACGGCATAGTGTGTTACCAATTGTTTTCTTGGTGACTATGGTCCCAGCTGCCTTGAGATCATTGACAAGATCCTCCCGTGTAGTTCTGGGCTGATTCCTCACCGTTCTCATGATCATTGCAACTCCACGAGGTGAGATCTTGCATGGAGCCCCAGGCCGAGGGAGATTGACAGTTATTTTGTGTTTCTTCCATTTGCAAATAATCGCACCAACTGTTGTCACCTTCTCACCAAGCTGGTTGGCGATGGTCTTGTAGCCCATTCCAGCCTTGTGTAGGTCTACAATCTTGTCCCTGAGAGTTTGGAATCTGATTGATTGATTGTTTCTGTGGACAGGTGTCTTTTATACAGGTAACAAACTGAGATTAGGAGCACTCCTAATCTCAGCTCGGTACCTGTATAAAAGACACCTGGGAGCCAGAAATCTTTCTGATTGAGAGGGGGTCAAATACTTATTTCCCTCATTAAAATGCAAATCAATTTATAACATTTTTGACATGCGTTTTTCTGGATTTTGTTGTTGTTATTCTGTCTCTCACTGTTCAAATAAACCTACCATTAAAATTATAGACTGATAATTTCTTTGTCAGTGGGCAAACATACAAAATCAGTAGGGGATCAAATACTTGTTCCCTCACTGTACATACATACGTCTGTGCCCATCTCATTGCAACATGATCCATCCAAGGTCAAAGCTGAATGCCTAAAATGTGAGAAATGTAAACAAGATGCTACAGTAGTGTGTGTGTGTGTGTGTATGGATGGAGTTCCAAGAAAATACATGAGTAGATGGCAAAGGAGATAGTGATGAGAGTGAGAGCATACAGTATGGAAATAAAGACCCCTTGGGATCTAAAATGAGTGTGGGGTGCACTCTTC